ATAACTCTACTTAAACTGACAATCACGCTACATGGTATACATTCTATATAACTCTACTTAAACTGACAATCACGCTACATGGTATACATTCTATATAACACTACTTAAACTGACAATCACGCTACATGGTATACATTCTATATAACACTACTTAAACTGACAATCACGCTACATGGTATACATTCTATATAACTCTACTTAAACTCACCTTTCCCCATTTTTCAAGTTGACTCATCTGTTGAAAAGATTCATTTTCTAACTCTTGCATTCTCTCCTCCATTTGTTTTGTATTAAGAGCTAGTTGCTCTTTTTCATTCCTTATGATCACTTCACTTGGATGTATGCCCAACTGAGCTTTGGCAGGAGATACCCTACAGGAGTGAAAAGTACTTAACTAATTGTAATATCACATAATAAACATTGAGCTATTTATGTAGGTATATTATGGTACGAAATATCCAAGCTACCAAAGCACTGAGGCTTTTAATTTCAAAAGTGATAGAATGTAATTTAAATGTGAACATTTTCACTTCACGTTCATCTTAATTACTTCTTTGCTGATTTCTTATCACATATGTGTGAAAACAGTATTTCAGGCTCATCAATGCCATAACAGACTTTTGTTTGATGCCCAGCTCAGAAGCCATATAAATACTAGACTTAATGCAGTGGCAGCCACAAATATATGTAAAATGTTATTTGTAACAAAATTTAATGCAATAGTACAAAACATCTAGTTTTGTATAACATACAAGATTTTTAGGCCTCACAATAGTGCTAAAATCACACCTTTATTACAATTTGTTCATCTTTCCTTTTAATTAGTCCTCAATGGGTTTTTTCAAAATAATAGTATGAAATAACTTATATTTCACAAAACTCTAATTATATAACAATTCTTATAACTACGGCATTGTACAGCAAATTTGTAATGAAGATTTTCAGACTCTAATATGAAATTCTTAAAGAATAAACAGATCTACACAACAGAGAACATAGTTTTTCTTGTCAAATAATGTTGACGAGTATATAGAACAAAGATAGATCTTACAAACAGAGTACCTGGTCTACTGCCTATCTAGTAATGTTGATGAGTATATAGAACAAGGATAGACCTTACCAAACAGAGTACCTGGTCTACTGCCTATCTAGTAATGTTGATGAGTATATAGAACAAAGATAGATCTTACAAACAGAGTACCTGGCCTACTGCCATATACTCATCAACATTACTAGATACGAACAAGGATAGACCTTACCGAACAGAGTACCTGGTCTACTGCCTATCTAGTAATGTTGATGAGTATATAGAACAAGGAAGACCTTACCAAACAGAGTACCTGGTCTACTGCCTATCTAGTAATGTTGATGAGTATATAGAACAAGGATAGACCTTACCAAACAGAGTACCTGATCTACTGCTCAACTAGCATTGTTTTAATCCCAATATATCTCTTTATTTTATAGCTGCATTTTATACAAAGTGAAATATCTGCAAAGACAAAAACAAAACAGGGATAAAGATACATATATATATATGTAGATGTCAGCTGATTAAAGGATGAACACTTTACAACACAGTCTAATGGCTAGAAGTGTCAAAAACAAAAGAGCCATTTGGTAATAAAAACAGTATCAATAAGACCCATAAATAATAAAAACATTAAAGTATACATGTGATTATGATTTAAAATAATGAGGAGAATGAGAACAGCTAATTGTGCAGAAAAAGAATGTCTGAGCACAAACAAAATCATAGCTGCAAGGCAGAAACTGATGGTGGGTCAACATAAACCATGTAGAAGAACTCCACTCCCTATTCACCAAATTCAGGATCAAAAACTCAAGAAGGAATAGCAGAAAGGGAATATGAAGTTTAGAAATATAGAACTAGTTTCCAAAAGTCCAATATCAGAAGAAGTTGGGAGAAATAATAGATTCAAATACTGAATCATCTCACATGACACAAGCACTCTCGGGTGTAACAGAAATAGGTTCAAAACTGAAAAATATAAAATATCTGACATAAAAAGAAATGCAGAAGTATAGTCAGTATTAAGGGCTAACACTTTATTAGCATGGTAGGCTCTAAAAGTAATTAGGACTGAGCAAAAGAATGACCTTCACGAAAAACAAAGTGTTGAGATTTATGCAAAGTAACAGTCTTGACAGCATCAGGCATACTACTATAAAATGGCATGAATATGTTAAACTATTAGAGCTGACAATGCAATTACAAAATTATCCTGCATGCTGCAAGCAAATTGTGTACGTACAGCCTCTCAACTAAATTACACAAATTATTATAGTGGCAGAAACAGTTGCATAAAAAAGAATCTTTGTAAAGTTAACAACATGAATGTCAACAAGAAAGTCATAATAATGGCAGGAAAGTGAAGTTCATGTAAGATCCCCTCACACTTGCAGATTAAGTTTGTACATGAAAGTGGGGAGTGGAGAAATATGGATAACTGATAGCCTTTCTTTTTGAATTTGAGCTCATGTTGTCAAGCCAACGTGGCTCAGTTTTCCAAATGGCCTTTACGTGTTCCAGATCATATATTTCAGTATTTTAAACTTATAAACTTTGAAAAATCATTTAGTTAGAAGGTTTTAGACATTAACAAAGTACCCTTTTTTAAAAGTGTAATGTCAGATAATTTTTATAAAAACCACCAATAAAAACATGGTAACATTTCTTTGACTAAAAATTCTACTTGACTCTGGAATTACCAATGGGATTCCAACTCTCCCAAGTGATATTTCTAAATTATTTATGTTCAAAGTTGTTTGTGGGCCAACTAGTTTTTTAGTTATAGAATTTCAAAGAACAAAAAGTTCATACATAAAAATCTTCCTTGCTTAACCTCAAATTATTGACTTGTTTTTACATGTTCACATGTTGCATCATATTGTCATATAGAGTAACTTGATGTTTTTGTCTGTCACAATAGTCATTATAAAAAACTAACCAGAAAAATTGAGAAAAATCTGTCATTTTCTATCTAAAATACATAGGGCACTCCACCATCAATTGGTAGGACTAGTTGCGATATTGAATGATATTTTTTATATTACTAACCTTTTGCATTGAAGACAACTAACTGGTAGTTCCTGTACCAAACATCTCCAGCAGTAAAGAAGAGGACTGTGTCTGATTCTCCCGGATGCTGGTGTAACTGCTATTCCAGTACAGCTGTACACATTGGTCTCCTTATTAGCCCTCACATTATTAACTGTGTGTAAAGAGTTTGTCAGAATAAAATGATCCAAAATGTTTTGGGTAATAATGTCAGATGAATTAGTTGAGCACCTTTTTGAATATGCCAAGCTACAGCTTCTCAGAGGTCGTGGTGAGCTAGAAGACCTATGTTCCGAGTTGAAGTAAATGATATTTATAGGGATTCTAGAACTTCTTAATCTAGTCATTCCACCAGCAGGATCATTGTAATCAGCTTGAGAAGCTGACTTTTTCCATTCATTATTAATACAAGAAGCTGAGTCAGTATCCTCACTTGAAGGTCCTGTTACCAGGCTGGTTGATGGATGAAGTAATGCTAAACTGAAATTGTGGAAAAAAACACCCAAAAATAAAGTAATAAATGCTGAAGTTATAATTTTCCTATAATGAAAATATATTTCCAATAGGTACTTACCTCTTCTCAAATAAATAGGTATTCTTGTTCAGTGCTGCCCTCTACATGCCAAACAAATTTTCACATGCCACAAGCCTTGAAGCTCCCACTCATCTGGAATTGACTGATTCCAATGCGTCTCACATTGAAATCATCATACAACAACCATCCATCAATAAGAGTGCGACATACTCTCTTCATGTGTGTGACTCCTTCTTTCAATTCTACCAAACTATCACTTTAGATTTGAGCAGAAAATGGAAGCACTGGTTTTCAGTAGAAGAAAGAGCGGGAAGTGTGAGAAGAGGTAAGTACCTATCGGAAATAAATTTTAAGAATAGGAAAATTATAACTTCTGATACAGTACATTACACCACCAGAACAACAACACCCTACTGTCAACTGAATGGTTTCGTTTATATACTGTTTCTCATTATCTCATTCAGGTGGATGATTCCATGGACTACCACCCCAGCAGCTTGGAACTAGAATGTGGTAAGGACTTCCAAACTTCACTAGAAGATAAGGTGGGAGAAAGCACAGTGGAGAGTCTGGAAGAATGACAACATCTGAGAATGTGCAACAGGTGACCCTATGTTGAAAGACTTACATACCGATTTATTGAATACAAGGCATGGCAGTAATGGGTAGCTCTCCCCATCTGCTTTACCCATGTAGTCCATGGGTGAGTACAGTCTGGGACAGGCAAACTAATAAAGCAAACATATTGCGAGGATAAACCTACAAGCAATCTTGTGGAACACCCCATTTCAGCAGTGCAGCTTTGACTTGTTTAAGTGTACTTCGACAGGTACCACTCGCCACAGAGCAAGATCCATAAAGAAGAAGAGGGACATACCACCCAAAGCAGATAATGGTGTAGGGGATATGACCATCTATCAACACATATAGATGAAGAGGAAAGGATGAAAATTAAGAGGAAAATCAAATGAATGGCTCGGATAACAGAAAACTCCACCAAATGCATTCAAGGAGGAGAATGGATGGTGCCAATAGAGGGATGTTTGAAAATACCAACCACAAAGGTACTAGAATGTGAGGTATGGAACAGGAAAAAAATATCAAACTGGAAAATCCAACTATCCAAGCTGAGTGTGGAAGGAGTATATGAGTATGTTAAGACTACCCCTGTTTGGAAGAAGCTAGATATCCAATGAATGGTGTAGGTAAAATCCCCCAAAATGTGAAAATCGGGTAAAATGCAGAACACCCCCACAAAAGACGTATGAAAATGAAACAAGTTCAAAGGGCAAAGCACAAAACTAGGACCAAATCTCATGGTGAAAAAAACCTAAGATAGCGTCCCGAGAAATGGAAAATAAGAACGTGTACCATGGGCATTCCCAGACATGCAGAAATAGCCTACTCAAATGTGACCAAAGACTACATAGGGAAAACCAAGAACTGTTTGAGGCAGGACCGATCGATCTAGAACCACAGTCAACACTGAGCATACAAGACAAATGGAAAAACCTGTAGGTAGGACAGGTAAAGGACGGGAAGTTGCCGGACACAAAATAATAAAGATGACTCGGTTTTCTCAGAATGAAAGAAAAGAGCAACTAAAAAAAAATTGAATATAGTATGGCAGATACTCCACATGATGCTAAATGTACAGGAGGAGCCCCAAAAATAGACTAGTGGAGAAAAAGATCTGACCTTAAGTCCCTATTAGCAATGGATGGTAAATAAACAGCAGTGTCCAACCCAAGAAGATCCCCAAAGTAAAGAAGCCTTGTGTGGAGAGAAAGAACTGAAGATCGTAAACACCCCAAAATGGAGGGAAGAAGGAGGAGGTATCCCAAATACGAAAATACCTAAATATAGGTGGAACACCTAAGAAAGGAAGTGGAAGGTAAACATTACCTGTGGGAGAGTAGATAGGGTTAAACAAAGCTGAAAACTAAGTAAGGGAGAAAATGGATAGCATTAACAGAGATCTGAAAGACATAAAATCAAGAAGAAAATCTGCCTGATGGTAAGCTAAGGCAATAAGAAGTAAAGCCTGTATGGGGCAAGGCTTGCAAGTACGCACTCTCAAAAGAGAGACAAAAAGATCATCATGAAACAATGTCAGTAGAACATTCCAGGCCTCTACTGAACATGTTTCACACTATATTCCCCAATCCATGATAAGGTGGAGGAAAACTGACAAAATCTGGGCCTTCTGAAATGGGTTTAGCTGTTATAGGATGAGAGTGAGCAACATTGGGAGCAAGTAGGGTGGACCCCAGCCCCCAGGGGTGTCACACAAACAAAATTAAGGGGAAGAAGTATAAATTAAACTAAATTAATGGTAAGAAAGTGTGTAGTGAAATAAACATATGTAATACATATTATGTGTTGAATAACCTGTAAGTAGAACTACAGGAAAACTGAATATAACAGACACATGTTAAACCTAATCAAACAGTGCTGGACAAAAGATATCACTTAGGTTTCTAAAATAAAAATCGTAACCTAACAATAAGTATGTACATTCATGATGTTAGAAAAACACATAGGTTCAAGAAGTCTTGATAGAAATGATAAAACCGTATAACCCGAGCACTTTCGAAAGGTAGACCTTTCTTCTTTAGGGGCAAACTGTTGGTACAATAGTGGAAGAAGTAAGTGCGGAACATGGCTCTAGGGTTCCACACAAACCAAGTTAATATGAAGAAGTATAAAAGATAAGTAATAATGAAAATTAAATAAAAGATAATTTATAAAATGAAATAAGTGTGTATTAAGAATAACCTATGCAAGAAACGTGACGTATGGAAAAAAAAACAAATTGATTGATATATCAGTAAGATGAATTACAGGTAATCCTAAAATAACAAAGACCCTGGTATCAGTGGTATATGAGAAAAGATACAACTAAGCCTAACTTCTAACCTGAACTGGACTATGAGTATCAACCAATCTAACGAAACTTATGTTATAGAACTCAAATAACTAGAGATAATAATATTAAAAATAAAATTATTCAAAAACCATAACAGTATAACATGTTATCTATTCAAAGTTAGGGGACTGTATGTCAAATTGTGTGGACCCCCAAACTCGAGGCAAGACACAATGAAGGTAAGCTCACTGGATGATCAATCTCCCTTTAGAAGTAAAACCAAACATATTCCTGCAGAGAGCACTGCTACCTGAAGCCTGTGTAAATGTGCTGATAGAACGTATAACCTACAAAGTTTGTAATGTAGAATTCATAATGCAAAATCAATAACCAAATACAACTGTGTCAGCAGAAGGAAATAAAACATTTTTGTAATGAAGTAATAAGTTCCATAACCAGGTAGAAATATAAAATAATCCCACTTCAGAATAACTCATCAAGTTACAAATATCACTATTATATAATAAAGAGTAAACTTGTTGTGAGAAATTAACACAAAGATACAGAAAAAAAATTAAAATAAAACTCTTGAAGAGAGAATAAACTAAAATTACAACATGATTATCGTCCATTCCAGATGAATGAGAGCTTCAAGGCTTGTGGCATGTGAAAAAACTTTTTTGCATATAGAGAGCAGCACTGAATGAGAATAGCTGTTTATGTGAGATGAGGTAATGTACCATGTCAGAAATAATTTTGAACAAATCGTGCAACACAAAATAAAGAAAAGAAAAAAAACAATTGTGAAAAGTCACTTCTATTTGTAACTTGCACACAGGAAAAGTTCACGTAATCTTTTCACGTGAAGACTTATGCTGATTAAAATGCAAAGATATCAGTGAACACACACTATCACAACTGATAAATCATTAAATTATATATATATGTGGATTAAAAGTTTAAAATGTGACTGAATGAGCACTATAAGGAATAAATCACTAAGTTAGGATAATGTTTCAATAGTTACAAATATCTAAAGAAAAGAAATGCAGCTTTCAATAATATAAATAATATTCAAATAGAAAAAATGCAAGGAACAAAATAAATCCACATTCCAGACTTTGGCAATGACTATTGCAGCTCGAGCAATTTTCGATTTTTAGGACCAATGTTTTCTAGAAACTTCCATAAGACGATAAATGTTTCAGTATATTATCTAAGTATATCTTTAAAACATCAACTGTATATGTAACATAAAAGTATCTATAAAAAGGCTTAGTTTTGTTATAATTGAACAATG